TTAGACCGTCTTTGACACCGGAAACGCTCCGATGAACGTTCTTACGAACATTTACGATTCGGAGAAACGATTTGCTAGTTGGGTGTTCGCTTCAGTGATAGCAGCTGGACGTCCCGAGAGAAAGATGATGATATCGAAGAGAAGAGACCTTCGGGAAACCTTCCAACCACGTGCAGTGATCTCCTGAAGAAGTTATCGGACTAGAGACAGTGGCGACCCCTCAGGAGCACTTGGCTTAGACTGTACTACGGGAGTAGTGTGAACCCACTCGGGTCATACGGAATATGAATCTGTTTGAGAGCCTGACTATCCCCAATGGGTGTTTTTAGCGAGTATGACCAGGAGCGATAGAACTTATCGCTACCAACTAAGGTATCCGGTGTTTCTTACTAACCCTTCCTTACCCTCCCCTATCCTCCCTTCCCCTCCCCTATTCTCTAAACTATGTTGGGCCCGCACAATAAGGGTCGACTTGCAGTAAAGTCTCTCCACGGACCCCGGACTTCCCTGTTCCCCTCGGGTTTTCAAGAGCCTCAGTCTACACCATGCACTCATCGTTCATCTTGAGGTCAATGGTGGCAAGCGGTGACTTTCGTCTTTACGGCTTAATCCCAATCGCTACACTTCGCACTGTCCTTTATAGTCCTGGGGATGTCCTCCATGGTTCCCATCCACAAAGGCAATAGCTGTCCCTGGGTATGTTTTTGGTATTACACTTTGAGGGTTAGTATTACACTGACTCGAACGCTGTCTCCTCCTGCCTTTGATAAATTTTACTGCAGTAATGCCCTCATTTATCGATTTGCTAAGGATTTTTCCTGCAAGACCTTGATTTTTATTTATTTATTTATTTTTATTTATTTTTTTCCTCCATTGTTAGTACGATAGTTGTTATGTTGGTGTGATGTGTCGAATTCCGCTTAGGGCATAGGCGCTATATGCAAATCCTTTGTGTAATCGCGATTCACACAATGCGATTGACTATCGTATCGGGTGTTTTGATAGAATATTCCAGAATGTTTCCACTTTTGTATGGATACAAATATTATTTATTTTCATTTGTTTATGTTTACATTATTGACTGGATTACTGTAGCATTAACAGATCATAGAGATCAGTAGATGAACTAAAAGGCTACGCACAGCGTTGTAGATGCGCCTAGTTTTACTTTTTACATTGGATCACCCGATGTGTACTTTCCCAATACCTAACGGGTCAATCGTCCCACTCTTTCTATGGGTTATACTGTGAGCTGCTAGGAGATTGTCAGGTGACGGGGATGGTGATCAAGAAATGAGGGATGCGCCATGCATTTTCGCCGGAGTAGCTTTGACGGATTACTTGAAAGAGCTTGATCTACACAATATTCCTCTGGTTTTTAATTATAAACAAAGCCTCTGGTAAACGAATCCTTTGATAAACTTCTAGGGAATGATGGAGTTCAGATGTCAATATCAACAGCTCTTCTCTCTAACATATTAGGTGGAGATTTACTCCCATGGGAAGGGAGGGGGTTGGTTCGAGAGAATACGGTTCTGGTCAAAAACCGCTGTACCTTATTGGTAGCTCCACCTCCATTGGTAGCTTCTTCATAGAATAAAATCAGGATGACGAAAACGTGTTCTGAAAAAGAAACTATATAAGGTCACCTCATTCTCGACCTCTTTTGGCCAACAGGCTGAAGGCAGGGAAGCTCTGACCATGGTCGATCGTTTCCCAAGAGGGTTACTGCTTTATACGCGCCTGAATGAGACGTTCTCATCCGGAATACTAAGGAAAAGGACAGCGGTTGCCCTGTGGCGTTAATTCGTCATTGGTCGTAATTGCATGCTTTCATGTCGGTCGATGGTGGCAAACAATTACGTGGTCGACTGCGGCTTCCCCACGAAACGGCAGAAGCATCGGCGGCAGCGACGGCAACCTTCTACTAATGCCATCTCGGAAGAGGCTGGACGAGTTAAAGTGCGAGATCGAGCCAGGAGAGGGAAGGAATGAAAAGTAACTAATAGAGAATTCCCATTGGTAACAAAACTTTCCTGCATTCGTTATTATTGGGGGGCAAGGACAAAAAAAAAATAAAACCAAGCGTATGTCTAAGTCCAAAAGAAGTCGAGGACGTCCAGAATGGAGAGAAGGGAGGGGGTAACGATCATCGAAATTACATCGATTACGCTAACGACGCAGAATTATTTCCATTCCTACTAGATGTTTTGTTCGATTTTCATCATCAGCCATTTTTTTCCACTTATCCCTCTAATTTGTTATTTCCGTGCTATTTAGTTGTTATTTATATGAACTAATTTATTTAAAGGGGTGGAGGTGGTGTAGTGGCGCACTATATCACACGCACGGT